CTATCTACACAATATACATAGACATAAAATGTAAAAATTAAATATCTTAGAAACAGTAGCCAATCAGTTGTTTTAATTGTCATATTTGAATTCAGCACATCAAAATACATAATAAATAGCACATTTTATCTCTGAAGCAGACGACGTCCCAAAAATTGTAGACCAGTGAAGAATGTTACTGAAGATCCTTTTTTTCTTACGCTCATTTTCATTTTATTGTTAGTATTGGTATATAAAGCAGATTTGTTCGTCTTATTTCTATATTAAGTATCTGATACAATTTTCTTTCAATTTTTTTTAGTGGCAATCATAGTAACTAGATACAAATCCAAACAATTAACCCGTAAACTGAGTCAACAAATTGAACTGTTAGAATGTGAAATTCGGAAAAAAATACGTGATGGTAGGTCTGCACAGCTTTCTTTTGTTTAATAAGTATATCATTTCTGAAATTAAAGTGCCATGAAGACACTCACATTTTTTAAATATTTTGTTTCATAGACTTCATTAAACAGAAATAGAATGGTTTGGAATGTGAATATCAGAGTTTCTTGTTTTTGTTGGTGTGCAGTACTAGCTAATTCTAGAAGCTAATAGCATTGCATGTAACAATTTACTTGAGCAAAATTGGAGATAAAAAAACTGCATCCAATCAATGTTTTCCATCCCACAGAGATTCAGCTTGAAAAATAATGCATCAAGTCTTAGAACTGTTTTTAAGAACCTCTTTTCAGGGTCATATTGAAAGCTGTAATTGTGTAGATAATTTTGCGTTATCAAAGCTAACATTCCAGGGGGTTGTTATTTCAGGATTTGCAGAACTACAGATGGATCACTTAGATGTGGTGGATAGTTTTGGAACTGTTCCCTTCCTCGACTACAAACATTTTGCTCTTAGAACTTTCTTCCCAGAGGTAAATGGTTGCTAGTCTTTTAGGTGTAATCCTTCCACGGTTATCAAGTAAGGACCAAATAGCTAATGTAAATATCACCATGTGATTTTCACAGGAGACCTTGTATACTACTACAAATCCAGTAGAATAGTGCTGGGCAAACATTGCAGGGGAGTGTTTAGATCTGTTGATCGTAGGTTCTGTAAAACTTCATATGCTCCAAGTCTAATTTTTGTAATTAAATTAACCCTAGTGTCCCCTTAATTCGTATGTGTTTAATGATTGTGTGTGCCATGTAAGGGTCTCTCATAGCCTTGCCTCACTAGATCTGCCTCCCTTCATGAGACTACCATTCCTAAACCTGCATTTTATTTGTTGCTTTTTATCTCTCACATGCTCACCTGTCTGTACAAAACTTAATTAAGTTAACTTAAACTGTTCGGCTAACATGTTTACATCATGGGACTTCCCCGTTGACTCAGCAAGGTGAGGAGGAGGCCTTACAAGTTCTCTCTCACAAGCCTGCACATGAATTAATTTCAGTAAATTAAATTAAAAGTAGGAAATGAGAAATCGAAAGTGATGTTGATGTTCTGTGTCAAGCTGCAGATTACCTTGCCAGAAATGTTTAGAGGAGTGACAGTGGTCCCAACAGAGGCCAGCACTAAGAACATGCTCAACTTTAAGCCTGTGCTTTAATGTTGTCCCAAATAGGGACTGGGCTTAAGCAAGTGTTTATATGTTTTCTGAACTGGGGCTAGTGTTACTTGCGACATCATGACATTTAATAGCATGAGAAGAATGGGGGAAATAATTTCCCTGGAATAGCTGGAATGATACCAAACTGGGGAAGAAAATACTAGTCTCAAATATCTTTCAAAGTTATATTATGAGATTAACCAAAGCCCATTAGTTTTTAGTATACATACTAATCTTCTAAGAGCATCAATATAAACAACTACTTTTCAAAAACAAATACTTAAACAGAAAATATTTTGTTGTATAGCTGGCTCAAAGGAGAAGATGGCCTTAGATGGTTTGTATAGTGCCTCGTACAATGGGATCCCAAAATTGACCCTGTAATGTGAATATTAAATATGAATAACAATAAAACTTTCCAAATCTGATATTGATCTCATTTACACCAGAGTAAATCAGGAATTACTCCCCCAAAATCAGTGGAGTTACCCAAGCTGCAACTGGGAGATCATAACAGGGCTCCTGTTGCTATAAATTCTGCATGTTTTCCTTTTGTTTTCTTTTTTTACCAGGGATATTAACATGACAATATTATCATTATTTTTAGGAGTTCATCTGTTCTTTCTGCTTACTCCTCATCAAAAATCTTAACTCTCTTATGAAACAAACAGGATGGGGTTTATAATGTGTCATTTGTTATCAAAGTGGTTATCTCATGTATTTAAAAATATATTATATGACCATTTCAGCTTCCCAAGTTTTGTTACTTAACCCCGTATCTAGCCACCATGGCTTTGATTTTCATTATTAATTCTGGTATTTTAACTTCTGCTTGTGTTATTTATATATGTATATTAAAAACCTTATTACATTTCTCTATATTTAACTCTAATTTTTACCCAGGTTTTCATGCTTTCCTTCTCTGTCTCTATCCTTTTCCTGAACTCTTTTGTTTAACCTTAACCATGTCTGCTTTGTGTAATTGTTTTTTACCCTTACTACATTTCTATTTTGTTTATTATTTATATGTAACTCTTCACACATTGTGTGTGTGTGTGTGTATGTGTTTTGGTGTTGTGTGGGGGTGCTTATGGAAGAGAGGCAGTGGAAATGGAAGGGCGAAGATGGAGGGAGAGGCTAATGGAGAAGGAGAACTACAAAGGCTAATAGGCATGCAGAAGAGGAAAGAGTGGGAGGAAAAGTTGGGATAAGGGTCAGGGGACAAGAGCAGGAGGAGTGGCAAGATAGAACACACAGGAAGAATTCTCTGTGTCAATGAAAAAGTGGATAACAGTAAATGCCAACAGAAAAATCTATTAAGTGCATCTGAATGAGTTTGGAGGCCAAAGATACTGATTTGGAGAAATACAGGCTCTGATGTCAGAATCTCACGGACTGTGAAGGTCTGGTACTCCCTGCTGCTAACACTGCTAGGAAACTGGGGTCTTTTAAGATTTGCCCTTGGAAAACTTCTGCTAACTGCTAGCAAGGCTTGCAGCACAGGGCTGATCAGCGGTCAGTGGGACCCAGTGTGCCCTATGGCTCTTCTGTGGTTTAATAATACTGACTTGCCTCAAAGGGTTGTGGCAGACTTAATTCATGAACGTTGAGATCCATTGTTAGCAAGTGTATGAAAAGTGTCAGCAGTAATAATAACTGCAGAGAAAAACTCTAAATTTGGCTAAGCCCAGGGGTCCCTGACATCCAGAAGATTCATACTATTGGTATAGTGACATCCGGGAGTAATGCATTCTGGGGTGTCCTCGCATAGCCGGAAAAGCAGCAGATTTTCATGTGATGATAATAAACAGTCTTTCCTATGGCATGTTAGAACATGGCTGGGCTGACTGACCTCCGCAGCCTGGGAATGAGGGCATTCAGCAGCATACCAGTAAATCTGGCCTAGCTTAATCCTGAGTTTCTCTTTGCAGTTTTCCTTTATGTTATATGCCAGAACTTTTGAGAAATCACAGAATACATAATTTGCAGGTGCATTTAGAAACCCAAATCCTCTTTAGTCAGCAAAGTCTGTTGCCTTGGGTATATGCTTAGCCTTTGATATTTCTATCAGTAATGCATCACCTGTCTTTTATTTTAGTCAGGCAGCTTTGCATCCATTTTCATTGAAGACATGCACACTAATGTGTCACAGGTAAGTCTATGTAATGTAATTTTACTTTTATTTAGTGGTTATTCTTTTCTGTCTACATGTGAACATGGTCATCACCACAGAATCTGAGCACCTTCCAAATGATCAGTCAGATTAAATTTTCTCTACATTCCTTCCCATGTGGGGAATAGTTACATGGCTTTATGTATAGAATGTAGTAACATATATGTAGATATGAAAACAGGATCTTATAATGGGAAGTATCAGGCAACTTTAACTGTAGGTAATACTGCCTGTATATAAAGTATGTGTGTGTGTGTGTGTGTGTGTGTGTGTGTGTGTGTGTGTGTGTGTGTGTGTGTGTGTGTGTGTGTGTGTGTGTGTA